CTGTTTATATCTTCTTTTATTGTGTAATAGAACATAGGTACAGAAATATACAACAAAATACATGTACAGTTTAATAAATAATTGTAAAATGAACACCCATGTAGTCATTCTACAGGTAAATCAAGAAACATATTGCCAACAGTGGGCTCCCTGTGAGGCTCCTCCCTAATCACAACCTCATCCCTGCATTGCTGCCCTCTACCCAGGTAACCACCACCTTTCCAGTTACTGCCCTGGTCTCAGCCCATATATCCTCTCTCTTGGATTATTGCAAGATCTAACTAGGTCTCCATATTCTACCCTTGCCCTCTCCCTTCTCAACACAGGAGTCAGAATATTCCTTCTAAAATGCAAATCAGATCGTGTCACTCGGTTCAAAACCCTGTAGTGGTCCCTCATTTTACTCAGAATAAAAGCCACTCTTCCCATCATGCCCTGTGCTCCAGACACCTGGCCTTACTGTTCCTTGCACAGGAAAAAACTAGAGAGGCTCCTTCCTTAGGGCCTCCGCTCTGCCTTTTTTCTCAGCCCCAAATAATCTGGGATTGTCCTGGAATTCTCCCTCCCTGCCATGTAACTAACCCTCTCCCCTCCATTATGTATTTGCTCCAATCTCTTCTTTGCAATGAGGCTAACCCTGACCACCCTATTTAATACTGCAACCCACTTGCCCTCCACCTGTGATTTGGGAATTCTTGATCCCCTGCTCTTTGTTTTCTTTTTTCTATAACACTACTTTCTGATACACTATATAACTTTATTTTTTTAAGGATTGTTTTTTGCTGTTTCCCCCAATAAAATGCAAACTACACAGGGTAAGTGTCTTTGCTTATTTCATTCACTGTTGTTCCAGTGTCCAAAATGATACCTAGACATTGCAGGCGTTCAGTGAATATGTATTGAATGAAAGAACCACTGTCCACTGTTCCTGCGATAATCATTTCCTTGCTTTTCTTTGTTGTTTTTCCACTTATGTATCCATTCCAATAATACAATTTAATTTTGCTTGTTTTAACTCTATGTGAGTTGAATCATACTATAACTGTGTTTTTATGTTCCACTTTCTTTTGCTCAACACTCTGTCTTTGAGACCCTTTCATACTGCTGTGTGCAGCTGTAATTCATTCATTTCCCCTGCTGTCCAATTTTTCACTATACGGATATACCACAATCCATCCATCCACCCAACTGTTGAAGGATATATGGGTCCTATCTATTTTTGGACAATTTCTCATGCGTGTCCTGGCACATATGTGTATGAGCTTCTCTGGGGCACGTACAAGTGGAGCTGCTGGGTCTTAGTGTATGTAACTCTTCAATTTTATAAGATAATGCCAGACGGGAGGATATAGCTCAGTGATAGGGTGCATGCCTAGCATGCACAAGGCCCTGGGTTCAATCCCCAGTGCTTTCATTAAAGATAAATACATTTTTTAAGAAACCCTAATTACCACTCCCGTCCAAAAAAAAAAAAAAAAAAAAAGATAACGCCAAGTGGTTTCCAAAGTAGTTGCATCAATATGCCCACCCATCTGCAGTAAGGTCATCTCTTTGGACCTCCGTTTCCCCTGTATTTCCTTTGTAAAATAGGAGAATTGGACTAGAATATTTCTGAAGTCTATTCTGGTTCTGACATTCTGTGAATCTGTCGTCAAGGAGCCCTGAGTAAGCAGCACTGGAGCCTGTGCATCCTTGAGGCAACACCTGAGTCGTAAAGGAGAGAGGTGAACACAACCTGTTCTTGCAGTCAGGTCTCCAAACGTCCCAGGATGTCTCTTAAGATTGGTGTTGGGGTAGAGACTTTGGCCTTGGTGGAGCTTGGCAACTCTTATCTACACACCATGACCTCTTGCTTCTACCTGCCCTTGAAATAATTCCTCAGAACAGAACCTGGCAAAGAGAGACAAGAGGCAAAAAGAATAAATTCATTCAGAGATAAGGGGGAACACATCATAGAAAAGTCAAGGGTGAGTGATCTGTTAGGGAGAAATTGTGCAAGTTCTGCCTTGGAACAGAAAGTGGTAAGCTGCCTTCCTAATGGAAAGTTAACTGAAAGAGGAAGGAATTTCATAGGAAAACAACTGGTGGGGAGGAAGCAACAGTTTTTAAGACAGGTTGAGAGTAAAGTTGGGACAACTCTGAAAAGAGGCCAGCCAGGAACTGGTAGGTCTGGCTGGAAAATATTTCCTGAGCGCAGATGCTGGCTCAGGCTGACCCTCCCTGGGATGCTTCCCCAGGACACATGGACCCTTGGCTCCAACTGGTGTTGGGAAAAAACTGAATGTTGCAGGAATGACCACCCCTAGACACTCCCATCCCCACTCCCCCATTCTTCACATGATGATGATGGATCTCTGTTGTAAGCCCCTGTCTCTGGCTGTCAGAGGTGAGTTTAGAACTGCACACTCCCACAGACCTTCCTCCTGGCAGCATCTTCTCTCTCCTCCCCCTACCAGTCCCCTGTGATTTCTTTCTTTCATTCACATACTCATTCAAGCATTTATTCAGCATACAGTGAGTACTTTGTATGTGCCTAGGCCCATGCTAGGCACTGTGGATGCCAAAATGCACAAGGCACACCCCTGAGTCTTGAGGAAGCTCATAGTCAAATACAGAGATGCACAGGATATGATTATCTTTCCCTCTTCTTCACCTGCAGCAGGTTGCAGTGGACTGGGCAAGTGACCTGGTGGCAGAGGGTCAGTCGTTCATCTGCAAAATGATGATGACACTTAGCCAAAGGGGTTGTTGTGAGGAGTATGTGCTAGCACCTCTGCTTTTGACATAGTCGGTGCTCAATGAATATTAGTCAGAAAGGATTCAAATGTAGGAGGGAGTCTTTAAGCAGTCTAAGGCTTCTGAAACTGAGATAGAATGCCCAAAGGCTGGGCACGGAGGTTGTACCTATATCCTTCTGTGTTCAGTGACACAGACCTGCCTTCCAGCACAGGCTAAAAGAGGAGGGAGGTGATTCAAACAGGAAAATTAAAAGAGTTTAGAGCTTTTAAGTCGGAGAACAGAAAGATGAAAAGATGGGGCCCAGACTGATAAATGTAGGGCAGTGGAGCCTCTGTGGGGGGGATGGTGGGGTCATGAGGGAGTCTTCCTTGGGGAGGTTGGAGGTAGAGGTGTGGAATGGGATCACTGATAAAACAAAAACTTCAGCGATTGGCTCATGGACTGTCTGGCCAGCACGTCTCCTCCCTCTCTCCTTGGACAGTTACTCTCTTTTTGTCCTGCCCAGGACTAGTCAAACTTGAGTCCAGTGACATCCAGACGGGGAACTTTATCACTCAGCAAATATTTATTGTGCATTTACTATGTACCAGGCCCTATTCAAAGTGCTAAAGAGACAGCAGTGAAGAAAACATGTGCATATGCAAATGTATCTGAAGGATAAATTGTTACGAATGGAATTGCTGCGGCAAAGGGCATGAACCTTTAACGTTTTTATGGATATAGTCAAATTGATGTACAAAGCTTGTTACCGTTTATGTTTCACCTGGATGCCTGTTTCTGGATGAGTGTATCTTTCTGACCAAAGGGATAATTCCCCCTGACTGCAGTCCTCCCAACCCATTAAGATTCTGTGGTCCTGTCTGCCAAGTCCAAAAGTGGAGTACCTTCATAGGAGATGTTTTCTTGAGCTGCGAAGAGGTGATCCTTCTCTAAGATTGATGCTATTTGGGGAGATTCTTGCAAGGGGTCGAGCTTCCATAGGAGTGGAAGACTCTCTATGACCAAGAGGAGAAAGAAGTTGAGGAACTGCTATTTCAAAAAGATGACCATGAGCAGAAAGTGACATCATCAGGGATCACTTTGTTCAGGCATGGGCGCAAGTTTAGCTGCCCCACTCCTGGCTATGACTGGATAAAGGAGAGGAGGCTTTGGCGAAGTTTTTGTGCACAAGAATGTCGCAACATTGTTACAGTGTATGACCCCAGTGTTTGGCAGGGACACAGGAAGGCTGATTCTCTGAACACTGGGCTGACCCCTTCACCTGAGCTGCTCAGTGCATGATTCTCCTTTGGAGCTAGACAGCTGTCAGGGTCAGAGAGACCTAAAGGACTGGAGTGGACATAGGGAAACTGCGAATGTCATAGTAGTCTTTGTTTCCAGGACTGTCTGATTTCAAAAATTCTGCCCCTACAAGTTCATCAGCATCTGTTAGACCGGGTGTCCTACTTTTTGATTTGGAAAATACAGTCAGTTTTCTGTAAAGGAGAAGGGGGAGGCAGCAGTTCATTCATTCCAATGTCTAAGCTTGGGATTTGGGGGGAGGGGCAGGGAGCAGGTTGCTGCAGAGATGGGCCCAGCCCTGTGCTAGACTCTTCCTTTGAATTCTCAGTTCTGCTGGGAGGTGAGCAGGTAAGTGGGACACAAGGTGTCATTGACATCCTCCTAGTCTCACCTGTTCACCCGGTCCCCTGTCCTATCCCACACTGGGAAGTCTTATATTAGCCTCAGCTTTCGGCCTCGCCCCACTAGCTCAATGGAGAGGGTCCACGTGCACATGCAAAAGCTTTCAGCCATGGCTGCTTAAAAAGCGTCTCTAAGCAACTGGGTTCGGTGTGGCCGATTTCAAGTAGCCGGGATGCAGACGTCAGTTTCTCCCATGGGGAGAAAAGGAGACTTCAAGTCCCCAAAGCTGCCTCACAACCTGTTGGACCAACAGCCCACTCCCCCTCCCCAACTCCCCTAGCGGAGGGGCGGTCTCCCCACCTCCTAAGCGATCAGGCCACGGCCCCTAGCCTCGAATGTTCTCCTCCCAGCGTAGCCCAGCCCATCTCCCCACTCGAGGCTCCGCCCCTGATCCCTCCCTGGTCCGGCAATTTCCAGAGAGGCGGCGCCAGCCAGACATCTGGGACGGACGCACCATCAGGACTACAAGTCCCAGCAAGCCCTGGGGCCCAACCCCGGGGGCGGGGCTATACCGGGCAGCGAATTGGGAGGAGCCCTGGCGCTCAGGCTAGGGAACGCGTGTGGCCAATCGCCGGGCGGCTGGTGCCGTGTGCCGATGTGGGCGGGGAGAAGCCTCCTAGGGCCCGGACAAAAGCCGGATCCCGGGCGACTGCGGAAGGCTGGAGTGCTCCGCTTAGTGCATTAGGGCCTGTGGACCTAAAAGCAAGCACGGACTTTCGCAGAGGTGAGTGGCGTGCAGCTGCTTTCGCGGGATGGACCTCACCTAGCCCAGGAGCTTCCTGCCTTCCTCCCTCAACCCGGAACCGCCTCTCCCGACGCCGGCTTAGGGCTCACGCGTCCTCCCTGCAGCTGCTTGGAAGTTTTGGGGGTCTTAGCTTCAGGTTAGCCTTCGCTGGGACCGTGGACGGTGGCCGCGTGTCGGCCACCCCCCTCCCCGACTCCCCCACATTCCAGTTTCTGGGAGTTTGCACAGTGCTTGCCGCCGCCCTTACCTGTCTTTCCTCCGCCGAATTGCATCTGCCCTTAACTGGTGCCCCTCATCCAACTCTGGGGCCACTGATCGAGCCTCGTCTGGCTTTATCGATCGGGCCACCTCTTGCCCCCATCCGGGTTTCCCCACCGGATGCCGGGGACGGGAAGTAGGGAGAGCAGCGGCCAGTCGCCCTACTCCGACTCCTCACAAGCTGGGCTCGGGCCCTTCCTCTTAGTTTTGTGGAGAATCGACTGAGCCCCGCGCCCAAGTGGAGGGAGCGAGGCGGGTGCGCGGCCGCTGCGGGCCACGAGGGGACCGGCCCGCTCCAGGCC